TTTTCATTTTCAACCTCAAGTAAGACTAGGATGAACGTGGAGAAGTGTTTGTTCGTCAGATATTACGGCATGTAGGATGATAGAAACAATACCTACGTCGGCGGTCAACTGAAAGGATTACTAGTGCCACAGGGTATTTCGTTTAATCAGTTACTTGACCGTTTGTACAGACTGATCAACGTGAGGCAGTCCGAATGCGATCTCGTCCTCAGAGTTCCTTATGAATTGGTGTACAGTTCGCCCCCATTGTACCTAACGAACGACGACGATCTACGGTTTGTGCTCGTGCAGGAACAGCTAAGTAGAGTGTTGTTGTTAGTATCGACCGTATGAAGGAGGAACGTTGAACATAGGACCGATCAACGTACCGTTGCTGACAGCCCAGATCATCATCATGAGCCGACGGAGTCCATATGTCAACCAACAGTTGATCTCTCTCTCGACGATGAAACCGCTAACCATGCTACATGCACACGTGTGAGGCTGAATGTGGAGCGTCGGTCACTACATCAACAGACAATGGGTACGGTCACCTGGTTTTAGTGAAACAGCAACGGTCGATCCAATTGAAAGGCCGACCAGAATGCATGAGGATACGACGGCCGAATCATTTGGGGTCGGTCCAGCAAAAGGCGTGTCCAGGGTGGCCCAAGACAGCGAACCATCGACATTGCACGAATTGCCACCAAGACGACCCATCATAGAAGAACAACTGTTTTTACACGTCCCGTTTTCAGGCGGACTAGACGTGCATGTTGGCAGACTGTTCATATCGAAAAATGACATCCGACTAGTATTAGCAACTATGGCAATATGTAATAATAAGGAATTCAAGGTTAAGAGATCAACGCGAAGTTTGTTTGCCGTGCGATGCGTTGACCGTACGTTCAGTTGGAGGATCCTTGCGCGATCGGTTGGTGGATCCAGTGTGTTTTGTATATCGAAGTATGTTGCTGAGCGCACGTGCAGTGTCGATGTATTTGTTGGGTGTGTTGCCCTAAACTCGTAGTTTGTATTTATGTAAAAACAAATGTATATTCAATAAAGTTTTATTCAATAAATTTGTTGTTGAATTCATAGTATTGCATTGTCCAAAATCCAATAAACTAAATATCCAAGGTTATTTTAGTGTAACTGA